AATAATAATAATAATAATAATAATAATAATAATAATAATAATAATAATAATAATAATAATAATAATAATTGTTATTATTGTTCATCAAGCATATATTCAGACTGGAATTGACATTTTTGTCCATCTACTGAGTCCTTCCCATGGACCTGGATAAGCAGATGTGGATGTTTGAATTATTATTAAATTTGTCGCCCATCTCACAGTTCCAGGTGGCTCTTTCCATGCAATTTACATTCATATTATATAATCTCTCACTGTATACATACAGCTAAAAACAATTCAGCTGTATATTAATAATCAGAATACATTTGATTAAATGTATTTGATTAATTATTTATTTGGCCAATATATTTTTCTGAAATATTGGTAGAGTACATGTTTTTTCAGTCTATAGCTCTTTCTAACGCTAAAAATAAACAACTGCAGTGTTATTGAACCAAATGCAAGAAATAAAATAAACAATAGGTTTGGCCAATCCCCCCTTTTCTGCTTTTATTTATAAATGCCATGGTGTTTATAAAATTGACATATGTGTAGCCACTTGGTTTATTATGATTATAACTATTCATGCTGGTCACCTTATCATACGGAAATGTTTAGTGATTCAGTAAATCACATAGTTTTCCTCTAGGAAAGCATAATAATCAGTATAGTCTTCCCTGCTATGATCTGAAGGTGAATGCTATGACAACCTGTTTTCTGAATTTTTCTGGAATATTCTATAAAAAATAGTAATTCAACCAAGAGTTCAACGTGTCTTGTAAATTATATTTAGTGACTTTAAGAGCAAAACATCTATATAAGGTAAATAAAGGAGATATCTAATCTAGGAGCAGGTACTGATTTATGTAGTTGCCTTGATTACTACTGCAGGTCTGTTTTGACTTGGCCATATGTTTGTTTTCACTTTTACTAATGGGCCAAACATCCTATATGTGAGAAATGTCAGTACATGTTTGGCTCTTAGCTCTGCAGGTCAAGGTTCAAGATTGTGTCTTGATCACACAAAAAGAGGAACAGAATTTTAGGTCCCTTTGGTGTAACACACCTTGTCAGTTACAAGGGCAGATTTTCTTGGACCACTTCTCACAACTTCTACATTTATTTCAATGATCAGGTAGTAAGCCTATTATAAAAAGGGTTTCATTGAGAAATGGCAACTTTATCTTTCCAGTAAGATCTGGACAATCCTAGTCAGTTACCTTTTACAGCAATTTCTCACATGAACAAGTGGTATCACATTATTCAGATTCCTGGAATATTGTTCAAGTCTTGAAAGGGATAATTCAAAAGTTTTGCTTTTCAAGTTTATGCATCCTTTGTTTTGTGGTCCTGGTATCATCTAATTGATTAAATGGCTCTGGATATTTCACTGAGACTAAATATTGTTTTTTTAAAAAAATACAAAATCAGCTTTCAAATAGAATGGTGAAATTATGTTTATAATTTTCTTACTTCAGTTTGTCTTCCTCCTATAGTTCTCCTTCCTGTGGCAAGTTTTGAAGTGCAGGAAGGACTGAAAGTATTGCCCCCTGGGGTTCTAGTATGCCTTCAAACACATGTGCTGTCTGCTAGGCAACATACTTTAACTGAATTTTACATTAAAAAAAAAATGGGAAATTGGGTATAGAATAGCAAAGTGTCTTTAGTATAATCCTGATTTCATAGATAACTTTGAAACCTTGAACGTTACTCTGAGGTAAAATGGGCATCCTATACATTTTATCAATCAATAAACTTTTGATCCCTCATAAATCCTCACAAGCTTTCTTAGAAAATAAAATTGGTTGCTGCTTATGCTTTGTTTGGAAATGTACTCATCTGCCTAGAAAATGACAGTAAGTAGGGGTAATAGGTAGCATTTGGTCAGACACATATCTTTGCCAGTAATCAATGAATGGAGCCCTCAGTAACTATTTTGCTTCAACATCCACAGTATGACCTCACAATTATAAATATGTCCACAAGATTGAAAATGGAATATAGAACAACACAATGAAGAAACAAAGCTACATTTCCCCCATTATTATCTCTTGGCTCTGTTTTTGTTCCATGGACTGAATTCATGTTTTAAAAGGCTGGAATCGTTGTTGAGAGAAAGAGATTGTTAAGGCCCTTAACAATCTTTTATTTTTTGTAGATCCTGATGTAGTCTGCAGATGGTGGTCATCAGCAATCACAATGATAATTAGCTGGCTCAAGGGTAATGATACAGCTGTGAAATCTCAGTTTATCAACGTGGAACGAATTCCTAAATGCTTGGAGATGATGGAGTGTGTGGTATTTTATATTATTTGTACAACTGTGTATCTGAAATCTAAAAAGGGCATAATAAAATAGAAATTTTCCTAATCTTTAACTTTGATCTCCCATAAACATATCACAAATCTCTCGTAGGCACCATGAAACTAAATTATAACTTGTTTCTTCAAATAGTTTCTAAATTAACCCAAAACTTTTCAGAATTGGGTATCCCAAAGTATGCTTAGGAGTAGTGGATGCAAAATATCAGTCTAGAAATCTACTATACTAGTTTTTGCGTCATTATCTAGTGATAATTCATTTATAGGGCTCATTTTAGCACTTTTTGGGGAGAATATATACCAAAGCAATTTATATAGCAAAGTATCTGGAAATACATTTAAAAGGGGGTGGGGTGGCTTGATGAGTTCTAGTTCCACCTTAGCCATGAAAGTCAATTTGGTAACCTTGGACCAGTTTCATTCAGTCCAACTCATAGGGTTGTTGTTGTGGCAAAAATAGGAGGAGGCAGATATGTTGGATATTTTCCCCACCTTGTATTATTTGTAAAAATAATAAAGGCAGAATACAAAAAAATCTACTGTTCATAAAACTTAAAAGACATTAATCATTTTCCTTGCTATTCTCTCCTCCTGCCTATATGCCTCTAGGAATGCCCTTGTGCGAGCTATCTTCCATGTATGCAAAGCCATGAATGTCTTATTGTCTAGCAAGGCAGATGGGCAGCATAGTTCATTTAGTCATTGTGAAAGAGCTAGCACTCATCTCTGGAATAGTCTCAACGTGAGAAGCGGGGTCTCAAGCACAAGTCTCAACAATGTAAGTCACACAAACTTACTTGAACTAAGATAACAAACCGTTTTCTTAATGTATATAGCTTCTTCCTTCTTTGCCTTCCTCCAGTGCAGCAAATACAGCTGCACTGTACCTATTTCCAAAGGAAAGGCAGGTGGGGATAGCATCTGTTCACAGTTCATTAGCTCTGCCCAAATAACAGGACAAGTGCTTGTTTGACCCATTCCTTGTTCTCTTGAATTGTACATCCTAAATGAATTATTTTCACCGAAGAATAAGGATATTGATTTCCATAGCTAAGAACAGTTCTCAATTTTTGCATCATGAAATTTCTCACTATCTTTGTTTTTAATACTAAGTGCACTTTGGGTTTCGTAAGCATGGAGGTTTGTTAAATTCAGATTCTTTGTTTATACCTATTGGGTGGCAACTGTAGTGCATTGTAGTTGCATTGCATGTTCTGGAAATACTCATGCAATGTTTCTGCAGTGCAGTTCAGAGGCCTGCCTGATCTCTGCACTACAAGTCTCCTGAGCCTTGGTTTTTGTTGATATGGGAAGGAGTTCTTAGGAACTTTATATAAAATGGATCAAGAGGCCATTTAATCTAGCCCTCCATCCAAAGATAGGAACGAGTATTTAATTCACCAACCCTCTTGTAGATTAATCAGTGAAATATGGATTACTGTACCCCCCAAAAAGAGACCAAGTGCAAGAAATAACACGTAGAGTCAATACTGTAGGTTGAAAGGGCTCAGGAAAGCAACCCAAAGAATACCAGGCAAAGAAAAGGTAAACGTATAACTGTTGTTCTGTATTTAACACTTAGCTTATGGCTTGTATTTTGAAAGAATAAATTAATCAAATTGTATGCTTCTTATAAAGCATTCTTTTGTCATCAGAGAATGTGCAATATCTTAGTTCTGTGAACACTGATGCCATTTCTATTTTGATCCAACATTGTATTGCTTTCTGTTTCTAGGAAATTGTTGGGTCAAATGTACATTCTTTAGGATAAGTTTCCAATATATGCACAAATAAATCAATTTTTCAGTTGTCTCTTGTTAATGCAATTCAAGATGAACACAATGTGGTTTCTCTGTATTCTAATTTCACAAAGCACTAATTGAACAGGAAACAAAAATTAGATAACAAATAATGGTTAAGGAATGATATATGTATTATAAAGAAGTTTGATATTATTTGGTGGCAATGTTTTTGGGATATGTTAGATGTAAGCTGGGTTGGGTTTTTTTAAATAATACAATTGAAGATACTGGTTTTCTGTCTTTAAAGCTGAGCTTAAATCTTTTTTGACTGGAGAATAGGGGTGCTCCTTTGATTGGGGACTTGGAGCTTAAGACTGGCCCTGGTGAAAGAGTTCTTTGATTTTTATGTTGCACATTGCTTAATTTTATTTTATTTAAGTGGTTATATACTGTTAATAGGTTTTATAGGGTCTATTTTATCTATTTTTGTAAAGGGGGTTATCTATTTAATTCCTTTAGTTGTCTAGGTTTTGTATGTGTCTGCTTGTGTGTGTGTGTGTGTGTGTGTGTGTGTGTGTGTGTGTGTGTGTATGTATGTATGTATTTGTTTTCTTAAGTTTTCGTGGGTACTTACATGTATGGTATTCAGCTTTGTTCAGGTATTTTCCCACGTCATTGTAGTTGTGCTTTTAAAGTTGTAGCAACGTTTCGGCAGAATCTCATCTGCCATCATCGGGCTTCTGTATTGTGTTTGTCTGTGAGTCAGACTTTCACAGCCGTTTCTGTTTTAAATTTGGGGCTAGCCTACTGCTGTGCCAGAATGGTTTTTTCTTCATCCTGATTGGTTGGGAGTCTTGGTCTGTGTTTATTGGTCTTGGAGTTTGCTGTGTTCTGCTTGATTGGTGTTTCTAATATCTTCTGTCTGTTTTGTGGCTTTTTTTTGTCTTGATTGTCTGGCAACATTGTGTTTCCTGTATTGGAGGCTTTTAGTGCAGCTTGGCTCCGAGTAAATGGACAGCTATCATTTATTAGGAAGCTAGGTTTCATCTGGGTGCCTGGTTGGGGTGTGTTTATGTATACTAATCTAACTGATACTTTTTTATTCCTGTTTATTGTTTAGTTTTTATAATAAATATATTTTTACTGTAATACATATATAGTAATTATAATGGATATTGAAAACTGCATTTTGGTAACTTGGACATGGGTTTGGGGATTCCTGGTCCATATGTGCTTGTTCAAAACTTTGACTGTGACCACCAGAAATTTTCAAGCACAGTGACTGCAGCCCTTGTGCCCCACCATTACTGTTGTTTGAATACTTTTGTATTCTTGTTGCTGAATAAGATTCTATCTCTTTAGATGATCCAGTTGCTGGCTTGCGATCTACTGTTATCTCTCCGTACCACTCTGTGGCAGAAACAGACAAATTCTAGTCTAGCTTTGGGAGAAACGCACCATGCTTCTGCTTCTGAACTGACTGGCTTCCAGCGTGATCTTGGCAGCCTGCGAAAACTAGCAAATAGCTTCAGGCTCGCTTACCGAAAGGTAAGAATATTGGAAACCCTCTATGGGCTTCTTGCTATAAATGGATAATAAGGAACCAGTAATTTCTGGATTTATCTATTAAAAAGGACTGTATACAGGGAGGACGGAAGTATGTTACATAATCTTGAAAGGGGGAAATGATATTAAGTAGGTTTATAACTGCTGTAAAGATTGGAAGCTGCTTTTAGTATTTTTTTTCTTGTCTTTGTATTGTTTTAAATACTTTCCTTTTTCTTTCTTATTTTTCTTTGCATTTGTCTTTTAACTTGGTAAAAAAAAAACAGATAGATAGACACGCCTGTTTGTGTAAGAATCTGTGGGTGGTATTTGAGAGAACTTCAGGGTGAGAAAATGTTGTCTTTCTTCATACTTGCATATTTGTTTTCTCCTGAGTACCTGCATGGTAAGAATACAAACTTTAAAAGTCAGAAGAACAAATTGCTCTGCTGGAATCTGTTTTTCATAATATTTTATCATTGTTTGCAGTGTTTATTATCAGAGATTTTCTTCTGGATATACTTCTATTATTGTAAGCTTTGCTCATAATACATAGGTATGCATGAAATGATAAGGATGATGCTTTGTGAAAGTTAAAATATTTCACTTTATTTTACATCCTTAAAACAATTATGTAATTATAATTGTGTGTGTGTGCGCGTGCATGCACACATATATTTTGTTCTACCCCATAGGGTTTATATTTTGTTCCACCACTTAAGGCTTATTTTTGTGATATAGTTGTGATATGAACTGAGAATTTCCTGGTTTTTCTACTCTTTCTACATTGGTTTAAACTAGAAAGCGACTAAGAGGATAAAGTAGCCATTAAAAACACTCTTAAGAAAGGAAGATAGTTTTAGCAGTTTGCTGTCGGGCTCACCATTTATTTCCCCTCATCCCCCAAGGGAATAAATTGCAATCCAGATTCTTGTCTCTTCTCAGCATGAACTGTTTAGAGGCCAGCTAAGTCAGCCTTGAGCCTGCATCAGGCCATCTACCATGGGAGAGTTGGACAATAATATACATTGGCTGTGCAATTTTAATGACCACTAGATGTCAGCAAACATCTATACAGAACATAAAGAGTTTACCACCATTTTGTGTTTGTCCAGATTTTTGCAGCTCAGCTATGGTAATTCTGCAGGAGGGAATACAGAAATAAAATACACAGAGAGTAGGTGAGGTGAATCTGCCAAGAGGATAAATACAAACTTTAAAATCTTTAAAATTTAAAACTTCCATCACAGTTTTGGACATCTGACCAACATGTAAGAAATGATTGTTTGAAATCTGCCCGTTAAAATCATCTCCATGGAATTTCTATTTTTTTCTAGGTTTTTCTGCATGAGGCCACTGTCCGCTTGATGGCAGGAGCCAGCCCCACACGTACTCATCAGCTGCTTGAGCATAGTCTCAGACGTCGGATCCCACAGAGTACCAAGCAAGGTCAGTAGGTTCTTGTGTTGTTCTCTTTCTTTTCTGCTAAACAGAAGGGTATATAGTGGAGCTGATAATGGGAAACATATCTTCCTTCATAGATTTTAGGAATTCACATATTTAAATATACTAGAACAACAACAAATATTAATGTTTCTGTGGGTTATGCCTAATTGTAAAAGTGCTTTTTAAAAGGACAAGGATGCTACATTTGGAAAGTTGTTTGAGCTCAGTTTGGTCTTAGTTTCTGGTTGACCCATGGTTTTTTTTTGAGAGAGAGATATAGATAAGAGGCACCTAATGCTTGAAGCCTGTATGTATAAAATAGATGTACAATATAGAATACCATTTTTGGTATTTTTATATCAGAACCAATGATAGGTAGGTAGGTAGGTAGGTAGGTAGGTAGGTAGGTAGGTAGATAGATAGATAGATAGATAGATAGATAGATAGATAGATAGATAGAT